AGGGTTTGCCGTGATCTCCTCAGCCTGGACAGGCACCAGGAGACAAGCTGCTGCCCAGCCCAAGCCTTCCATGGGATCAGGGAAGCAGATGCTCACCTCTCAGCTGCCCTTCCTAAGGACCATAAACACCAGGCAGCCACCACACTCAGAAAGCTCTGGGGAGACCTGCTCCAGCCCGCACAGGAGCTGCTCCGCGCTGCCACCAGACACCAGGATGCTCCCGTGGATGTGGGGTGCCCAGCCACTTCTTTTAGTCCCACAGCAGCCAAAATTTCACACCGAGCAGCAATGCAACAGAGCCAGTAAGCTGGAGGATACACGTCCATCCCACCACCCTCATCCCCCAACGCCTATCCCTGCATCCAAATGCCAGAGTTTATTGACAAAGTGCAGAGATCCAGGAGGTAAAGAGGTCTGAGTGAGGGAGGCAGTGGCACCTGGGGAGGCCCATGCATTGGGCTCAGGCAGGGAACAGCGTGGGGGGACAGGCTGGAGGTTCTCACAGCCATCAGGATCCCACACAGATGTAGGTGGTGTTTCCCCAGAGGAAGGCGGGAGTTGGGGAGCGGAGCCACTGCAGGGTGGCCGCTTTCTGCTCGCAGACCCAGCCGAGGGCTTCGCCACACAGACCGCCTGACAGCCCCGTGCCTGACACCCTGCCACAGGCCAGGAAGGAGTTGGTGGAGCGCTGGATTGGGAAGAGCCTGCAGAGAGAGAGCGGGCTGAGATGAGCTGGGCAGGAAGGGCTGGAGCCGTCCCATCAGCAACTCCTCCAACCAGGGACCAGAGGCTTCACAGAGATGCTGTGGGAGAAAGCTCATGCTCCCCATGGACAATGTCCTCTGCCACCCTCCTCCCAACTAGGACACATGCTCTGACCCCTCCTGTCGGACATGCAGCCCTCAGCCCCGTCATGCACACAGCACCCCTAGGTTCCTTCTTGACAGGGCTCAGCACCAGCTGCACCAAGGAAAGCCTGGAAACCTGCTTTCAGGGGACACCCCCCAGCCACTCACCCAGACTAGGGGCACCAGGGTCAGGACCCTGTAATATTCCCTTCCCTAAAACGCCTCAGTGCAGCCCTGGGAAGACCAGATGTGGCCAAAATGTGGACCACAACCCTGCATGCCAGTGCGGTGCCTGTGACCCACCACCGCTCCGAACCCCAGCTGGGGACAAGCTGGCAGCCTCACCCCTTCAGTGCGGTGCCATCCAGCCACTTCCAGTCCAACCTGAAGCTGTCCCGCTTCAGCCCCACGTGGAAGACGTCCATGTTGGCTGTGCGCACCAGGAAAGCCTAGTGCAGGAGAGGACAACGGTGAGACCCTGGGGGAGACCCCCAGCTCCAGCCACGTGATTAGTGGTGGGGCTGAGCAGTGTGGGCACAACATCACTGTCTCCCTGCCTGGAGGCTTGGCTCGGCTTTGGGCGTGAGGGCCAGAGCCTGGGAGACGAGACGATGCTGATGACGCTGGGTGACTGCCGGGGGACCTTGCGATGGTCACCAGTGCAGCCTGATGCCCGCAGAGGGTTTCACAGGCCAGTCTGGGTGGACTCACCAGGGTGGTGTTGGCTCGGATGGTGACCAGCCGTGCCCCTCTGGAGCAGCAGTCCTCTCTGCTCTGCTCCCAGCTCTTTTTGGCAGAGGAGAAGTAGTAGCACTGCCCCGCATCCCAGAGCCAGCCGACCGGGCAGAACTGGCATCGCCCTGCGCATCAGAAATTCAGCCTGTGGGAGCAGCCAGGACTGGGCAGCTGGCAGGAGCTCCCGACAGCCCCCAGCCCAAGGGACAGGAGGGTGACAAGGGGCAGCCAGGGCAGTAACCAGCCCCGTGTACTCCTACGTCTGCCCTGTGGAGAGTACCCTCCGCTTGCTCTTACTCTGGACTCCCCAGCTCCCACATCCCAGTCCCAGCTTCCCAGTGGGAGCCCCAGAGGAGATGAGTTGGTTACGTGAAGGTGCTGGCATTGAGCAAGTGAGTCAGGGAGGGGAGCTGCAGGTTTGGGAGTGAGATACAAACATTGTTTGCAAAGCGCTGAGAACAGAGTCTCGATTTCGGCTTCACCAGAGACTGGTCAAAAGAGAGCACCCAGTGCTGGCTGGCACACGAATGCTCGTGGCAGCCAGGAGCCTGGTGCTGGTGGCGTGCCCAGGTGATGCTGAGCTGCCCTGAGGGGTCGTCTCTTCCGAAGGGGTCTCAGCAGTACAGCCTGTTCAGCAGCACTGAGGCAGCTCTCCATGCCATGAGCCAGTTAACAGGCAGCAAGGGTGAAGGAAAACTTGGAGGGGGGAGGTTGAGGAGTTCATACAGATCCTGCCTCTTGAAAGGAGCAGCCAGACCCTCTCCAAACCTCTCCCAGAGGGCTGCCGGGCTCTCTTACCTTGCAGTGTCTGTCGCCCATAGCTGGGGCTCTTCTCCATGCTCCAGGAACCATGGGTGCAGCTCGCCTGTTTTCCTAAATCTAGAAGAGCACAGGAGTATTCCTGCCAGCCCTGAGGTCCTGCTCCCAGCAGCACCCAGTTCCCTCTCCCTCGGGACAGCCCCACAGCTGCGGCTGAGGGCGTCCCTGCCTTTGGGTGACCGGCCAAGCCCGCCATAGTCCTTGTGGCTTTTTGCTGTGCTTGGGACCCCATCGCATTACAGGCTTTCGGGGAAAGTGCTTCTGCCTTTTGGTTTCAGTGTCACCGCCCTCCCTCCTGTTTTCATTTTGTAGCCATGTGATGGAGCAGGATGCTCCAGTGCTGTTCCCGAGCCCACGCTGTTAGCCCACCTTCCTCTCCCAGCCAGGTGGATGAGGTCTTGCCTCACCAATTTTCCTGCTTGCCCCAGAACCCCCAACATCCTTGGCGAAGGGCAGAAGGGCCCAGCTCCATGGGCAAGCTGCAGCTCTGTCTGTTGGCACACAGGCCCCAGGGCCCTGGCCGAAGAGGTCTTGGCACAAGGGGGTACTCACAGTGGAAGCTCAAGCCAACGAGGATGATTTGTGCCAGCAGGAGCAGCAGGGAGAGGAGAGCCAGGCTGAGGGCTGCCCAGCACCAGGGCAGCCTCACTGGCGGCTGAGGAGCTGAGAAAAGGAGTTAGTCGGGGTCCTGGGGGCTCGGTGGGAGCGGTGGAAACCACCCAGCTGGGAAAGGTCTGTGAATCCTGGACAGGGTCTCAGGAGACAGCAAGGGAGCCCAGGAAAACTGAGGGAGCACCCATTTGCAACACCCTGACCTTCCCAGAAGCTGACTCCCTGCAGACGGGGCTTGGCACAGGGTGGGGAGAGCAGAGCAGGGGCTGTCTGTGTGTGCTGTGGCACTGGGGTGCAGTGGGCATCCCTTGCCCTTGAGCCCCTCCTGCATCCCACCCCGAGAGCAGTCAGTCTGCAACCGAGCTGGAGAGGAGCTGTTTGGGAGAGGGTAACCGAAAGGAGGGAATGGGGGAGCAGGGCTGCGGGAACAGTCCTGCAGAGGTCCAGGGGCTGCGGGAGGGCAGGGGACCCAGCAGGAAATCTGGGGTGCCAGGAGCAGGGAGCAGCATGCCATTACCTGGTGCAGGGGGCAAGCGCAGATCGGCGTACGTGACCCCCTCTTCCATCCCTCCCCTCGGTCTCTCACTCTGTGCCCCACTGGGGAAGTGGTAACCCCCTCCTGCCCCCTTTGGCAGCCGGGTGTGACGCGAAATGGAAAGTGTCACTTCCTGACAGGGTCCCCAGAGGCACCACCTGGGCCACAACCTTGGATGGTCACCGTGCTTCCAGAAACCGGGGACAGGGGTGACCCCCAGCCAGGCCGGCACCTGAGGGAACCCCGCAC